ATGGATGGATGATGGCTGTATGGATGGATGGATGGATAGATATATAGATGGATGATGGATGGATGATGGATGGATGGATGGATGGATGATGGATGGATGGATGGATGGATGGATGGATAGATATATAGATGGATGATGGATGGATGATGGATGGATGGATGGATGAGTGGGTGGATGGATGGATGATGGATGGATGGATGGATGGATGATGGCTGTATGGATGGATGGATGGATAGATATATAGATGGATGATGGATGGATGATGGATGGATGGATGGATGATGGATGGATGGATGGATGGATGATGGATGGATGAGTGGGTGGATGGATGGATGATGGATGGATGGATGGATGGATGGATGGATACAGGGCTGGCTGGCTGGCTGGTGGAAGGATGAATGAATGGATAAGTAACAGTTAGATGGGTGGATTACATAGGTGGTAGGTGTTCACTACCCTGGAGATTACACCCAGTGCCATCATGGAGCTCAAGGGTTTAGAGCCACAAGCTCAGGCTACAACAGGAGGAGCACAGCAGTGGCACAGCAGAACGGAGAACCTAGGGATAAAACATGAACACAAATACTCTGTCCTTTTCTAGAACCCTAGAGGGAGCTTTCCTCACATGGAGAGAATAAACCCCCTACAGGATCCCTGATTCTCAGGTTCTTTGGGTCCCGCAGTTCTGGAATTCCATGCTCTGCAAGCCCACACTGCTAAGAGCCTGCACCCTGGGGCCTCCGAGTTCCCCAAGGTTGCTGTGGTTCTGTGGCTCTGTGCCCACGCCCTTCTGCAGGCCCTCTTCCTGCACTTCATGAAGGGACACAGCCAGAGAAACTGATAAGCAAGGCTCATGCCAGACCTCTGCTGGTGCTAGGTGCTGGTGCCAGGTGCTAGGTGCTGGTGCTAGGTGCTAGATGCTGGTGCTAGGTGCCATGTGCTGGTGCTAGGTGCTGGTGCTAGGTGCTAGGTGCTGGTGCCAGGTGCCAGGTGCTGGTGCTAGGTGCTAGGTGTGGTGCTAGGTGCCAGGTGCTGGTACTAGGTGCTAGGTGCTGGTGCTAGGTGCTAAGTGCTTGTGCTAGGTGCCAGGTGCTGGTGCTAGGTGCTAGGTGCTGGTGCTAGGTGCTGGTGCAGGCAGAGATCCTGTGGAGCCTCTCTCAGGGGAGTTGCCTGCCAGACCTGAGAACCGGTGTGTCTCTCCTGGCCTTCAGGAACCCGGGGCTCCCATCCAGCCATTCCCGGGGAACAGGCTAGGTCCCAAGGCAGGGAAGGGCCGCCCATGTGGCTGCTCCCTGGATTTGCACTCTGGCAGAGCAGGAAAGAGAAGCCCCACACTGGTGGCCAGGGTCCCAGGGGATGATCTAGACAGGTGGGGCCATGCCAGGCCCTGGGAAGCAGGTGAGAGAGACCCGTGTCTAGGCCTGTGGCCCTGTGTGTAAAGGTGAGTCTCCTGCACAGGAGGGAGGAGTAGGGAAGCCTGGGAGTGGGGTAAGAGCCCCAGGCCAGCCGGGACGGAGTTGGGGAAGGAGGGCAGGCCCAGCTCTGGTTCCCACTGGCTGGCTGGGTGATCCTGGGCAAGGCCCTGCCGTCTCCGTGTCATCTGAGGGAGGCCCTGTCAGTGTGTGCAGGTCCATGAATGGAGGGAAAAGCCAAGCCCTCCCCCAGGGCAGCGTGACTCTGTATCCTTCCACAGCCTGACTCATGGGGTAGTCACCTCAGCCCTGTGGGGAAGAAGGGGTGTGCCATGCCCGAGGCCCCCCAGGCCCAGACCCAGGCCCCGACCCCCTGTCCTTGCTCCATCCTTCAGGAGCCCCCATCCCTTGGCTTCCCTGATCGTCCCTCTCACATGGGGTCCACTTGTCTGTGCCCCGCCTCCCCAGCTCATCTGGGGGTCCCGAGGGCTGGCCCTGTCTCTCCTGTCTGTCTCTGTCATGCCCTGAGTGCGTGGTCCATGGTGGGTGCTGCTAAATGAGCGAGCGAGCGGGCAGGTGCAGTGCCTCCCTGCGTGCGGCCAGCCAGCACTCGCCCATGATGCACCTGGAAACTGAAGAAGCCTTGTCTGCAGGCCCCAAGGTGTGGGGGCGCCTCCAGGGAGGGAACCCGATTTGCCCATCCTGGTGCCCACCCTCAGCCCAAGGCAAGGCCCGGGAACCCCCTAGGCTGCATTTTCAGAAAGTCTGGATTGGCCACTGTCTGTGCCAGGCCAGGCGCTTCCCTGTGTTGGACCCCAGGCCTTGATTCTGGCCCCTCCCCCACTCCAAGCCCGAGCCCCTGGGGAGCAGTGGAAAGGAGGGCGGGGGTTGGGGGGGGCGTGAGCAGGGAAAGCAGGAGGCAGCAGAGGTCTGGGCTTGTCCTGGCGCCTGGCTTCCAGCCGCTGAGTTCAGGAAGGAGGAGGGCTGAGGGGTGGGGGTGCTAGTGCTCCCGACCCCGTGCCCCCAAGACCTCCTCTAGACCTTGTTTCTGCTGCCAACATTCTGCTGGCACCGTCATGCCCAGGGACCCAGCTGGCTCCAGGGACTGGGTGAGAGGGCTTGGGTGCTGGACAGTGGCAGCTTTCTCCAGAGGGTGAGGGGGAACAGGAGGACAGGCCACGTGATGTGGAAGTGTCAGGGGCTGGCGCCAGCGGGGCCCCCTCAGAACCTCACTTCCTCACCAGTAAAAGGATGTTGGAAGGGGCCAACTTAAGGACCCATGACGGCTCCTCTCTCCCCTGATATCTGCCTCCAAGATCAGGGCAATCAGGTCACCACTTCAGGAAGCCCTCCCCGACTGCACTGTTCCGATGACTCCCAGTTCTCCGAGAGCTCCTGCCATGGAAATCGCCCACTTTCTCGCACAGGTAAACTGTGTCTGAGGCTGCTGTTGATGGTCCTGCTAGGAAGCCCCCGGGACAGGCAGCTCACATCTAGGTGGGCAGCCCAGGCCCTCACTGGCAGTCCTGTCAGAGACAAGGCTTTCTTCCCATGGAACCAGAACCTGGCTGCCACCTCTGCTTCAGTAGGTGTCTGTCCCTGCCTGCAGGGCACACGGCCAGTGAAGCCTCAGGTGCCCCATGAGGATGGGCCAGGGCTGCAGGGGTGCCCTCCAGCCCCAGTGAGGGGAGCCTGCTGCCCAGCAGCTTCACACCAGACTTGCACTCCTGGTCTGCCCAACACCCCTGGACCCCTTACTCTACCAGGCCCTATGGGAAATCCAATGTCCCAAACCCGTTTTCCTAGTGGCTTCCATGCCCCCTGGCCTCAGTGAGTCACCCCTCCCCACCTGTCATTCCCACCCCCCACCCCATGCCAGTCACCACTCTGTCACCGAGCCCTACATCCTGCTTCCCGAGGCCTCTAGGGCATCCTCCTTTCACCTGCCCATGAAGGGCTGTGCCTGATGAATTCCAGGCCTCAGAGCTTGGAGTGACTTCCTCTCTCTGGGTGAGGGCACAGGTCCCCCATATTAACTGCCTTGTCAAGAGAGACCCCAGCTACCCTAAATAAGACCCGGGGAGCCTGGGACCAGCCATGGGACAGGCTCAGGATGCTGATGTGGGGCTGCCTCAGGGGCTCCTGCTTGCACCCTCCCTGCCCCGCCAGGGTCCTGGAAGGAACGCCACACCAGCCCTGCACCTCTGGCCGGGTCTCACCAGGTCCAGTAACATCCTTAGGGAGGGCGGCCCAGAGTGTCAGGCAGCACGAGGCAGCCCACCTCGCCCAGGTGAGGCCTGGCTCAGGAGCTGGCTTGTCCAGGCCATGCCAGGAGGAAGGGCCAAGGGGTCCCAGAGCTCCCCGGCCTGAGCCCACAGTGCTCCCAAGAGCTGTAGGCTGGCTCTGCCCTCTGCCCTCCCTCCAGCCCAGGGCCACCCTCCCTGCAGCAGGCCCTGCCCCTCCAGTTCTGAGCTCTGTGCTCTGGCCCGACTCACCGTCACAGTCAGCGTGGTCTGCGAGGACAGGGTCAGCGGGAGGCCTCTGTAGGCCCCCCCACAACCCAGCGGGGTCCGCTGGGCACAGCAGAGCAGCAGGAAGGTCCCGGGGCCAGTGAGCGGACAGGGAAACCTTCGGGGAAGGGAGGGCAGTGCCTGGGCTTAGGGGCCAAGTCTCCCCCCACCACGGGTACTCTGAGACGGTGAAGTTGGGGGGCTCTACCCAGCACCCACCGCCCCTGGTCTGGAAGAGCTCACTGCCCTCAGGGACCAGAGCAGGAGATGGAGACGCCTGGTCCCAAAGCAGGATGAAGGCTGGTGCCCCTCCAGGACGGCCGGGGGCCGGAGCACGGTGGACAGAGTCCTGGAGGGGAGGCGTCCAAGGCAGGGCTGGTGGAGACACAGGGGCCCTCAGTTTCCCTTGAGTCTCTGCCTCCACACCCTTCCCTCCCCCATCAGCCCTGCCCCTGCCCCTCTCCCAGATGCACCTGGTCCGGCGCTCACCTCTCTGCAGGCACATCCACACGCTTGGCCTGCTGCCTGCCCGCCCCCAGGATGGCCTCTTCCTCTCCTCACTACCCTGACATCCTGACATCTCAGCAAGATGCCCTGCTTCCGTGGGTGTCCTTGTCCCAGGGCTCCATGGGCGGACCTAGCAGTCCTGAGCCCCGAGCCCAGGAAGGCAGGGCCAGCGCCTACTCCTGCCTTGCTAGGCCCGTGGGCACAGCCCTGGGCACCCACAGGGCAGCTGCTTAGGCTTGTGACTCTGCTGACCTTATCTGAGGGTGGGGGTTGCAAGGGAAGGACTGGAAGGTCCGAGACAAAGTGATCTAGGGACGGACAGAGAGCCAGAGAGAGGGAGACAGGCAGTGAGCTGCAGAGTCAGCTGAGGCTTCTGTACATAGCCCGGAGATGGGGGAGGGCAGACCCCTGCCCTGGGGGGTAGGCAGCCAGGGGCCGAGGTCCCTCCAGGTGGCCGTGGCTGGGACAGCCGGGTGCCGAGCTGGTGGGTGTGGGCCAGCCAGGGCGGGGCAGATGGAATGCCGCCCCCTGGCTGGCTGCCCACCTTCACCCCTCCCACCAGCACCTGTCCCAGCTATAAGGCCTCCAGAGAGGAGGGGCCCCACTGCTCCCAGAGACGCCCCAAGATGAAGACAGCCCTGCTGCTCCTCGTTGCTCTGGCAGTGGCCGCCGGGCCAGGTGGGTGAGGGCCTGGGGTGGGGTGGGCAGCTGGGACCTGTGGGACGGGAGGCTGGCAGTACTGGCCTTTAGGCTCGGAGCATCCTGGACTCCTGGGATGCTAGACTCAGAATTTAAAACCAGGGCGCCTGGGTGGCTCAGTCGTTAAGCATCTGCCTTCGGCTCAGGTCATGATCCCAGGGTCCTGGGATCGAGCCCTGCATCGGGCTCCCTGCTCAGCGGGGAGCCTGCTTCTCCCTCTGCCTCTGCCTGCCTACTTGTGATCTCTCTCTCTCTCTCTGTCAAATAAATAAATTAAATGTAAAAAAAAAAAAAAAACGGATTTAAAACCAAATGAACCCACATCTTAGCTTAGTGGAATCAGACTTCAAATATCTCAGAATCAGCGGCCGGGACCCGACACGCAGAGCAGGGAGAGAGGCGGGGAGCTGTCTCGAGGAGCCCCCCCCGCCCCTGGGAAAGACCAGCCACCAACAGGCCCGAGGGGTCCCACGGTCCCAGCCGTCCAGGACTGTCGCCTCCCGACTTGTCCGGAGGTTGTGCGCAGGACAGGAGCCCCTGCAGGGCCCGGTCGGTCTAGGGCAGGGGTGGCAGAGGGCAGGGTCCAGACAGCGACCCCAGGCCTCCCTGTGTCCCTCGTCCCCCCCAGCCCGTGCTCTCCGCTGTCACGTCTGCTCCAGCTCCAGCAACTGTGAGAAAGCCCAGAACTGTGCAGCCAGCGCACGCTACTGTCGGACCAGCACCAAGGGTGAGTGCTCCAGGGGCGCGGGGCCGGGGCGCAGCTCTGTCCAGGTGCCCCGGGGCTCAGGGGACCGTGGCCGGAAGGCTGGCGGGAGGGTGTCGGTGGCGGGTGGGTCGCGGTGGCGATGGGGGCCGGAGCAGGGACTCGGGGTGCCTCGGAGCCCGGCCGCGTGGGCTGTGGGAGGTCAGAAGCCGCTGCCCAGCCTGACCACGCCCACGTGTTGCCAGTGGAGCCCCTGAGGGGGAACCTGGTGGAGAAGGACTGCGTGGAGCTGTGCACGCCCACGAACACCCTGCGGGGCCAGGTGAGCAGCGGGGCGGCCACCACCCTGTGCTGTCAGGACGACTTGTGCAACTGGAGTCTGCAGAGCCGCGCGCCCGCCCGCACCCTGCTCCCCGGCGCTGCCCTCCGCCTGGCGCTGGCCCTCGGCCTCCTCGCCCTCCTCGTGGCCCCCAGCCTGTGACCTCCCGCGGGCAGGGGCCCCCATCCCTTTCCCGGGGGACTTCCACGCCCCCGGGGTCCCTTCCTCTTCCTGCCCGGGGGACTCCGCGGCCCCTCCCACGGGCGCCATGAAGGGGAGGTTGGGACGCCCTGGGCTGAGCCTGCCTCCGAAGGTCTGGGGGCTCCCTCCCCCAAGACAGGAAGATGTACTTCCCTGAGCAGCAGGAAAGCAGCAGACAGAAGGCGTTCTGACCCCTTCTGACTTGACATTAATTCTGTTCCGTTTCCGTTTGTTTTTCTACTTGCATAGGAATAAATGCCTGAAAATCTGCGTGGTTGTGTCTGTGCTATCCGGGGTACAGGAGGTGGGGAGGAGGCCGCCCGGCCACACAGGCCCCCAGTTTCTGGGGCTTGTCACCGGGGCCAGTCTTGGCAACGTCCACGAGGCCTGAAATGCCACTGTCACTCCTCACCTTCAGAGGAGACACAAGCCTCCCCAGGCACCCTCTCTGCAGCCCCAGAAGGGAGGGATGCTCCTGGGGGGTCCTGAGTGGGAGCGTAGGACAGAAGGCTTGGGTGCTCTTTCTGGCACCCAGCCCAAGTGGTCAGACAGACATACACACACACGTACCATCTCCACCCTGGGAAGGCTGGCCAAGGGCGCTGCTGAGCTCACCTGGACGGGGTCAACCCGAGGTAGGTAAACTTACCTGGGTCCTACTGCCTGGATCTGGGCCCTACTGCCTGTGTTTGGGGTCCCACTGCCTGGGTTCGGGGCTTGCTGTCTGGGTCTGGGCCCCTTGCCTGGGTTCAGGGCCCCACTGCCTGGGTCTGGGCCCCCCTGCCTCGGTTCAGGGCCCCACTGCCTGGGTTCAGGGCCCCACTGCCTGGGTCTGGGCCCCCCTGCCTCGGTTCAGGGCCCCACTGCCTGGGTTCAGGGCTTGCTGTCTGGGTCTGGCCCCCTTGCCTGGGTTCAGGGCCCCACTGCCTGGGTTCGGGGATTGCTGTCTGGATCTGGGCCCCTTGCCTGGGTTCAGGGCCCCACTGCCTGGGTCTGGGCCCCCCTGCCTGGGTTCAGGGCCCCACTGCCTGGGTTCGGGGCTTGCTGTCTGGATCTGGGCCCCCTGCCTCGGTTCAGGGCCCCCCTGCCTGAGTTTGGGGCTTGCTGTCTGGATCTGGGCAGTTTTGATCACTGTGTGTCTGGGAGTTCCCAGAACCCAGCAGGTGCCCACACAAGCAGCCCTCCCTACTCCAGGGAGGACCGGAGGCTTCTGCTGCATCTCTCGGGGCAGTCTTCACCCTCTCAGGCCTCACTGTGGGTCAGACAGAGCCCCAGCTCCAGTGCTGGCAAGGAGGAGCTGTGGCTGGTGGTGGCCCCGGCAGGGTGCATGGCTGAGGGATGGCGGAGATGTGGGGCCCAACCAGGAGCAGGAGGAGCAGGGCCCCATGTGGCCTGAGCACTGCGGCGAGAGCCGCTTCCCGAGCTGCCGGGCCCAGTGCCTGCTCCCCCGGGGCTGTCTTCATCACAGGAGCCTCCCTTGGGCGCCACCACCTGACGCGCCTGTGTCCCAGCTGTTTGCCCAGGTGGGGCTCATCCCCCTCCATTCTTCCCCATAGCTTTTGCACCGTCTAACACACTGTCTTCAGTTTAATCAAGGTACACTTGAGTACGATAAACAGTACACGCCCGAAGTGTGCAAGGCGATGAGCTCGAACGTGTCACAGGCGCACGAATCATCCTACCATCAAGACAACGAGCACAGCCATTCCCCCCAAAGCCGCCCGCACCCCTGCCCATGCCCCCTCCATCCTTCCTTGCGCACCCCACCCCAAGCAACCACGGATCTGCTCTGTTCGTGGCAGTGTTACTCGTGACCGCTCAAACCGAGACCCACCCCCCCAACACTACACATCAGCCCACATTTTCCAGATTTCGGTAAAATGGAATCCGACAGGATTCAGAGATGCAGCCCTGCTCCAGGGCGTCTCGGTCTTTTGCTCCTACTGCTGCCAGAGCTCGGCTGTCCGACCACCAAGAGGTGCGGCCACCGTGTGGATGGTCCATCCGCGCACCTGGACGGCCAGCTGGCACGTTCCCGGGCCTGAGCTCTCAGAGTGACGTTGCTATGAACGTTCACATCCAGGTCTTCGTGGGGACAGACGTTTCCTCTCACTTGGACAAAAGCTAGGAGTGGGGTGCACGGGGCTGACGACAGAAGATGCTTCCGTTTTGAGTGGCCACTAAACTGTTCTCCAAAGTGGCTGTTCTCCCCACATTCCCCCCAGCAAAGGAAGAAGGTTCCAGTCACTGCACATCCTTGCCTTGCTGTTGTCAGTCTTCGACTGGGGCCGTCCTGATTCGGGGGTCGTGAGGTCTCCCTGCAGGTTTGGTTTGCACACCCCTCATTAACGGACACTGAGCATCTTCTCGTGTGTATGTTTGCCGTCTGGGTATCTTCTTTGATAAATTGTTAGAATCCTTTTACTCCCTTGTTTCTTTTGGGTCGTTTGGCTGATGATTATTTGTAATATTTATTCATCCATTTTAGATACACCTTCTTAGATACACATTTTGCAAATATGTTCTCCTGATCTGGCTTGTTTTTTCATTTTTATAACGTTGTTTTGTGAAGAGCAAAAATTTCATTTTGATGAAGTCCAGTTTATGGATTTCTTCTCGTATAGTCTGTGTTTTTAAAGAAATGTTTGCCATACCTGAGGTCGCTAAGATTTCTGGTGGTGTCGCTCTTAGGTAAGGTCTGAGACCCACTGGGAGCCCGTCTGTGAGCGCGACGGGACGCACAGAAGGAGAGTCGAGCTTGCTCACGTATGGCCTCTCTGGTGGAAATGGTACTCCTCTCTCCGTTGCAATGACTTAGTACCTTTGTCAAAAGCCAGCTCACCATACGCGTGGGGCCTGTTCTGGGCGCTAGCCCTGTCCATTCTGACACCCCTTCCACACTGCTGTGAGTCTATTAAGGCCTAGAATCAGGTCCTGTGAGACCTCTACCTTTTACCTTCTTTTTCAAAATGGTTTTAGCTATTTTAGATCCTTTGCATTTCCATATAAATTTTAGAGTTAGCCCGGTAATTTCTTCAAGAAAAATGCCCTTGGGTTTGGGGCTGGGAATGCACCTAAACCACAGATGGGTTTGGAGAGAAGTTACATCTCATTGTGAAGTCTGCTCATCAATGGGTATGAGTATCAATGAGTATGACAAACCTCTCCATCTGGTGAAGCCCTTTAAGAATGTATTTCAGCAATGGGGGCGCCTGGGTGGCTCAGTCGTTGAGCGTCTGCCTTCGGCTCAGGTCATGATCCCAGGGTCCTGAGATCGAGCCCCGCATCGGGCTCCTGGCTCAGCGGGGAGCCTCCTTCTCCCTCTGCCTGCCACTCCCCCTGCTTATGCTCTCTCTGTCTCTGACAAATAAATAAAATCTTAAAAAAAAAAAAAAGTATGAATTGTGGGGCACCTGGGTGGCTCAGTCGTTAAGTGTCTGCCTTCGGCTCAGGTCATGGTCCCAGGGTCCTGGGATCGAGCCCCGCATCGGGCTCCCTGCTCTGCGGGAAGCCTGCTTCTCCCTCTCCTGCTCCCCCTGCTTGTGTTCCCTCTCTCGCTGTGTCTCTCTCTGTCAAATAAGTAAATAAAATCTTTAAAAAAAAAAAAAGAATGTATTTCAGCAATGTTTTGTGGCTTTCAAAGTGAACATGTCTTCCACGTCTTTCGTCAACATCATCCCTAAGTTTTTGCCTGTTAACCTTTTATCCCACAACCTTGCTAAACCAACATAGGTCTAGGAGGGCTTTCTTGAGTTGGCTTTTTTTTTTTTTTTTCTTTTTGGTACATTCCCCGAAATTTTCTTTGTGAATACCTGTCATCTGAAAACCAGAGGCAGTTTTTACTTCCCTTCCAGTCTTTGTGTATTTTAAGTCTTTGTTGTGCCTTGTTGTATGGCTGGGCTTCCAGCATGAGGCCGAGTAAGAACCATCAGAGGCCCTGCTCTGCTCTGGCGAGTGTGGGCCAGCGCTCTGTCTTTCCAAACTGAATAGATGAGCTGTAGGTTTTCTGCAGGTGCCTTTATCAGGCTAAGACAGATCCCCCCGTTCCTAGTTTGCTGAGAGGTTGGTTGGTTGGTTGGTTGGTTTAATCAGAAACGGACGTGAGATTTTGTCAAACGTTTTTCCCAAATCTATGCACATGGTTGTCTTGTGGATGTGGTGAATCACACTCGATCTTCAATGTCAAACTGGCATTGTTCTTTGTCATGTTATATTTCCTTTTCTCTATTACTGGATTCGTTTGCTACACTTATGTTCATACCTTTTACAGCTAAGTCCAGAGAGATGCTGGTCTGCTGTGGTTCCCTGTAACGTCTGTCCGGTTCTGGTCCCAGAGGGATGGTGCCTCCCAACGAGTGGGCACAGCCCTCCTTCTCCAGAAGGGGTAGGAGAGTGTCAGTATGCGTCTTTCTTTCAGTGCTTTGTAGGGACGCCTGGGAGCTCAGTCGGTGAAGTGTCTGCCTTCGGCTCAGGTCATGATCCCAGGCTCCTGGGATGAAGCCCCACATCAGGCTCCTTGCTCAGCGGGAAGCCTGCTTCTCCTTCTCCCACTGCTGCTCCTCCTTGCTCATGTTCTCTCTCTCTCTCTCAGATAAATAAATAGAAATTTTAAAAATAAATAAACAAATAAATAACTAAATAAATGCTTTGTAGAATTCACTGGAGTTTTCTTTGTGGGAAGATTTTTAGCTACAAATTCAATTTCTTCAGAAGACAGGGATAATCCGTTACGTACTTCCTGTCGAGGGAGCACCGAGGGCCTGTGTGTGTGAGGGGCCTGGCCCGAGTCATCTAAGTTGTAGGACGCATTGGTGTAATGTTGTCATGACCTGTCCTGATGTCCCCTTTCTCATTCCTGCTTTGTGGTTTGTCTCATCTCTTCTCTTTTTCATCAGTCTACACAGAGGTTTAAAAATCACATTGATGTTCTCAAAGAATCAGCTTTTGGTTTGACTGATCTT